ACACACACACACACTTTAAAGTGGGTGGCTCGCATAAAGAAAAGTAAACATCGAAAAGAAGCCACCTATTTTTATTGACCACATAAAATTTGCTTATTTCCGATGTCAAAATAATTTCTTTTCTATTTTTGAATGTAAATAAAAGTGTGTGGAATTGAAAATCTAGTTTTTAAATCCTTTATATTAAGTTCCCTTGCTTGCTTGCTTAGGACCGTGCAAATCTTTCGGTCGTTTTTTAACCCACTTCCCGTGATCCAATCGAGCTGACATTTTGCACACAGACTCGTTGTGTGACAATTAATGTTCCTGAATTTTTTTTCCCAATATTTTACACTCTTTAGGACAAAAATATTATATGTAATTACCAATTGCTTAATGCTGCCATGCAATCATCTGACCCATAGGTGGCAGCCATCTCAAGCCAGAGGACGAGAGGACTCTAGCCGCCACGCATATAAAGGATTTATAGTGAAAAACTTTGTTTTTACGGGTTATACTTGTTTACCTAATTACTTTGTGTACTTGTTGCGCTCTCGCGCTTAGGAAGAGGGACGCCACAGCGGCCGCTCCGGCGCCATGACGAGCGGCGATGTAAGCACTCTTTTCATTGGTCATAGGCTGGCCAGCAACAGTCGATCTGATTGGACCAGACGTTTGCATCGTAGGTGGGAGCAAACATTCATGATTCCAAAAAGGCGGGGGGTAAAATATACGACTATTAATTTTTTTTTTCAGTTAAAAACAAGAATAGGACCAGTTACATATAATTAACATTCCTTCCCTTTGTTAATGCTACCCCCTACCCCCTCCCTTTGATGCTGCTAATCCTGCATAATGCACGGGCATAATGACTTTGAAACCCCCCGCCCACCTCCTACGCATTTCCCATAAATATGCTAAATTCCTCTTGATATGCAAATTATTTTGTCAAGGCGCTCTTCTTCCCCCCTCCAACCCAGCTTAAATATACGCTCCAAGCTTGGTGGTGTTTCATTCTTCACCTGAGGACGGCTGCTTGCGTTGTAGCCGAAACGTCGTGAGAATTATTTTATTATGTTTTATTTTTATTATTTTATTATTTCCCTTCTACGTGACTTTACCGAAAGAACCAAGAAGATGAATCCCCGCAGTCACGAAGCTTTAAATCGAAAAGAATAGGACCACCATGGGCGGGACCTCGACCGGTTTTTAAATGAAATCTTGAATTATCACGCGAGGCGAGTCTGTGGAGAATTTTTCAGCTCATTAGGCTTCGTAGATCTGAAGAAATTAAGATTCCAAAAAATACAAACACAACATGGTAAGTTCAGTAAAAGTATGTAAAAAGGGTCAAGTGAGTCTGGCATTCATGATTTACTTGCCCGCAGGCACAAGAGAAGCCATCGCAAGCTGTGGCACAAAAACTTAATTTGACTCACCTGACGCCAAAGGACATCCCAACTGCAGCAGAAAGATTAGATTTTTTTGGCCGATCATGTCATCAGAACTATGCACAAGCTGGGCTGAGAGTTTAGTTAATAATTCCGCCACGTAACATATGGGAGCGGGTAAAATGGCAGCCCCATTCCAAAGCAGTATGTAAGATTTATTGTTATTATTTCCTCTGGTGTTTTAAATAAGTAATGGTGGTTTTATGGAAACGAATTAAATATTCAAAAGTACTATTTTACACTCGGGATAATATGAAAGTGATACCGAATTAGAGTGATTAAAATAAGATGTAGGGCCAAGTAAAAGACTGCTCTGATCATTTAGATTTGTAAATAGGCTTTCTGACAAAAGTTTGATCCGTTCTTAAAGAAAAGAAAATACATAAAAACAACTGTCAAGTGCACCATTAGAGCACTCTAATGACATCACTGGCATTAATACATCAATGCAACGACACGACTAGAGCATGCTATGATGGCAAACTTGATTGTAACTTAAATGTATTTTTTCTCACAAACAAAAGTTTCAAATCCGTTTCAAACAGTAATGGACAACCGAGTTACATTTCAATAAGAAATTAGATATTTGTTCTCTGTGGAGTGGATTCAACTGGGTCACAGACGTACTTCTTGGAGGCAACACACATTTATTTACACCAACACATTAACACAAAGGGGTTCCTGCCCCTTCACCAGATAACCTATGGTGGTGGTGGACCACCAGGCTAACTACGCTAGTTACTGGGAGTAGCTACAACGGACAGGACCCTGACTCGGGTCCTCGTCCACGTGTTGATGACTTCTTCTCTTGGAGGTAAATCGTAGATCTTCGGATGATGACAATAACGCAGAGCCCCGGTCCCTGTGGGGACCCGGTTTACATGCTCCCGGGTCGTGGCTGGCCCCGCCCTTGGCCACGACCACCTTCGAGAAACCTCTTGTCGTTTCTCGACCCTTCCCGGAGGAACTCTCCCCCGACACGTGACCAACCCCCTAGCCCCCGCCTGGGGCCCCTGTGTAGATCTTACCGGTCACGTGCCTGCCAGGGTCAACCAGAGTGCCATGGCCCAGGGTAATCTCATCCCATGGCTGACACTCTCACACTCCCTCCTGTAGGAGTCAGCACTGCACGCCACTCGTGGTGCCACTGAGCGCTATCCCAGCACTCACCAAGCCCCCTCTAGGGCTGGTACTACACCCACCTACGAGGTGTCCGCGATGACGGTGCATCGCACGCCGTGCCTCGCCAGAGCCGGCATGAATCAGCGGCATTCACGATGTCGCTACATACGTGATGTCTGCGATGTGGGTACATCGCACGCCGTGGCCCTCTAGGGCTGGCACCACACAGTGACATCTGAGATGTCACTACATCTGAGATGTCACTACATCTGTATTGCATGTTCCCTGAAGATTATTCAGGTAAGATGTATCACTATATTAAAACACTTTGCATGAAAGAGATGTTACAAAGAGGACATAGAACTCCAACCATTGTTGATTAAGATTTGTATGTAATGTTTCAATATTACTGTTTTGTTTAATAACTATAGTTATGGCATCAATTAGGGGATAGATGAACTGCGAGACAGAGAGAGTAACATAAGGCAGAATCGTTCATGATCAAAGATGATTTCTGATGGTCGAGACGAATATAGATTTGGCAGCCACAGAAGGGAAACAGAACAAGGATCTTGGCCACCATGGAGATGGAGCGATGAAATCAGATGGTGCGCAGGCACTGGATAGACTGTTACATGACGGGACCGTGAGAGATGGTGACAGATTGTGAAGGCATTCATCCAGCAGCAGATAGATCATGACACGATGCTGATCATGACATGAGTTCGGCATTCAGGGGTACAACTTTAGGGTGGAATCAACTTCAAGGATCTGGCTAATGAATACAATTATTTCACTAGACAGCATGTCTAGTGAAATAATGAGGCCAGATATACTGTGTCCCGCATATAACATGGATAGTGAGGTTCATGGTCTTGGCCTGGTCACCAATGGCTGTATGTGAAAAAAAGATATTTCATTTGGTACTGCAATTAATTGAGCAAAATTCTAGATCTGAGAATTATAATATTGGTGTGACTATATTCTTGGTTCTTTCGATAAAGTCACGTAGAAGGGACTGTTACAAACATTGCTACGTCATGCAGATGGGGTGAGAGAGTGCTGCCCTCCACCGTGTGAAACCCCACTTGAAGGGATATCGGAGGTAACTGCAATATCCGCTTCCGTTGGCCGCTCTCTTAATCATGTACGACTGCACTGCTCTACAGGAGATCTCAATGGATTTGTCTCATGACATTACACTGATACTGGTAGGAACCTCCTGGTTACACCAGCCCACAGGGGATTATTGTGTCCGTCCGTCATGCAGGGAGGGGCTGGGTGAGGAGGGAGGGGCTGGATGGGGAGGGGAGGGTGGGGAGGGGCTGGGTGGGGAGGGTGGGGCTGGGTGGGGAGGGGAGGGTGGGGAGGGGCTGGGTGGGGAGGGGCTGGGTGGGAAGGGTGGGGAGGGGCTGGGTGGGGAGGGGCTGGGTGGGGGGTGGGAGGGGTGGGGCTGGGTGGGGAGGGGCTGGTCAACCCGTGGTGCCCTTATAAAACTCAACGTTTAACCTACTCACGCCAGCTTGTGCCCACCCTCATAGTCGGGCATATTTGCGGAATACACCACGCCGCCGTTGACCCTGGCCATTGACCGAGCAACCCAACGTTCCTACCAGCTCCCTCCGCAGGAATGTGTTATCACAACTGCACATGAAATCGCGGAAGAAACTAAACACAATCTAAGTGAAATTATTTAACTGAATGTCCAATAAATCTTGAGTTGAAGCTTTCGTGACTGCAGGAATCCATACTCTTTGGTTCTTTCGGTAAAGTCACAAGCATCCATCATCAGGTAGGAAAGCATGGTCTGCTGCTGAGGCAAACTGTTTCAAAAGGTTTGAAATGGGTGTAGCTCAGGGGTTATAAAGAAGTGGCCGGGGCTAGTGATGTTCATGTGAGAAATTAGCATGTAACTGTAAGAAGAGCGGCCTCCTAAACGAGGGCACGGAAGTGGCTATGTTAATGTGAGGGATTAGCATGATGTTAATGTGAGAAATTAGAGGGCACGGAAGTGGCTATGTTAATGTGAGGGATTAGCATGAGGTTCATGTGAGAAATTAGCATGTAAAAGTAAGCTAGGAGAGCAGTCTCTTAGACGAGGGCACGGAAGTGGCTATGCTAATGTGAGGGATTAGCATGATGTTAAAGGGAGAAATTAGAGGGCACGGAAGTGGCTATGTTAATGTGACAGATTAGCATGATGTTCATGTGAGAGATTAGCATGTAACTGTAGAAAAGGAGAAGAAGAGCGGCCTCCTCGACGAGGAAGTGCAACCCAACGGGTGTAATCCGAAGGGCCTGTGAGTATGAGAGTGCAATCCAAAGGCATGAGAGTGCAATGCAACGGACATGTGAGCATGATAGATCTAAGAGAGAGGCATAGAGAGAGAGACAAAGAGTCGAAATAACAGTCCACTAAATGTTTAAAGGGGAAAATGTGCTGTTTACCAGAAGCTGCAGTTCGTCCCTCTCCTTGACGACTTGTTCCGCGAGACCCAGGACGTTGTTGAGGTACCGGCTAGCCAGATTCTCCTTTCCCATCGATTCCTCTAGCTTCTGCTTTAGCGTCGCCATGCCCCGCTGGTAGCGCCTGCCGTGGGGCGTGTGCAACCAAAACAAGGTCACGTGGTCGTCACGACAGCCAAACTGTATGCATATATGTTGAACTTCTTTTGCACCATACGTAGCCAAACATGTTCATTGGAGGTGTGGGGGAATGGCAACAAATTAAACACAAAAGGCAGTCTGCTCTTACAGCATCCCACCAACGATCGTTAAGGTCTTCTCTCAAAGTAAGACAAATAAAACATCGCCATCCGGTACTCACACACACAGTGCCTATAACCAAATTACCCACAATGTACTCAATCTCGTCAGATCTCGGAAGCTAAGCAGACTGCAGCCTGGACAGTGCTTTTGTGGGTTAATGTGGGGCTACATTGTCAGTGGAGGGCTGTGCAGACAAATCACTGCGGTACTTTTCTCCAAGCGCAAGCCACTGCGCCACCGTTCCACCGATAAATATAAATCAACTGTAAATCATTGATCCTCACTGACACGTGTGTGCATCGCGAGCGTAACCACCAATGCCAATCAATGGTTACGTCCCTTTTACCTGGTGGTTTTCTTGGCAGCTTCGAGCTGCGAATCGAGCACACTCAAGCGGGCCTCCAGGCGACACTTGTCCTGTACCGCCACACGCTTGTCCTCCTGACACGCTGCGAGTTGCTCTCGCAACCCTTGCAGCTGAGTGCAGCTGTGATCGTGTTGCTCCTGTGCACGCCTGCGAATGAGAACGACGCACCGGGAAGCCAAGAATTGAAAATATTTGGACCGTACAAGCCGAGATTAAAACCGTTAAATCCTCTGCAACCTCTCCCCAGAGTCTGAACTATGGACTAAACCAGCAAACTTTTAACCGACAATCCAAATCAGAATTAATCAACATTTGGGAGCTATTCAATCAAATTAAACCTCTTCCCTTAATTGTGACCCTGCAAATTAACTCTGACACGACCCCTAATTGTATTCCTGACCACATTTATTAAACTAAATGGAACCTCACGATCATCCAAACTGAAACTGCAACACCAAAGGGACATTGAACCCAGAAAGCGAAGAGCCCTTGTAGCGGGTAGCAATAGCTCTTGAAGATGGCACCAGACGTTGCGAGGAACTGAACCAATCGGCATCAAGAAACAGAAACGCCAAGGGCAGTCAGCAATGTTATGTAATCGAGGGGGAAAATTCGCTTTCTCAATCCCTGTAGCTCCCAGCACGTGGAGCGAAACGTCGGACATTGTGCTGAACAATACGCAGTACCAATCAAAAAACTAATCAAAGAAACATTTACAACACAACCGTGAAAACCTATGCAGTAGACGGTCTCTTGGATAGACCTACCAAGGCCATGTCCCTGGGCTGTCCGAGATTGGCCCTGAAGCTTTGTTAACGAGTTGCTAAGATGTCACTGCGTCACGAAGATTTCACTGGCGCGCTTTGAAATTCGTCAGTAGGTAGCTACGACGATGGTGCCTGAAAGTGAATTTAAAGTCTTTTTGCTCATTAACGAAACCTCAATGTCACGTCGGATAGCCCAGGACACGCACAGCTTCGTCGGTCTATAAAAATATAAAATAATTGATCCTGCATAATGCATGGGCATAATATGACTTTGAAACCCCCCCGCCCACCTCCTACGCATTTTCCATGAATATGCTAAATTCCTCGTCATATGCACATTCTTTTGTTAAGGCGCTCTTCTTCCACCTCCAACGCAGCTTATATATAAGCTCCTAGCTTGGCATTGTCTCATTCTTCACCTGAAGACGGCTGCTTGCGTTGTAGCCGAAACGTCGTGAGAATTATTTTATTATGTTTTATTTTTATTATTTTATTACTTCCCTTCTACGTGACTTTACCGAAAGAACCAAGAAGATAAAATAACACGAAGTTGTGTTTTCAGCTGCTTTTGCCTTTAACAAACACGCGGTCACCAATAGCCACGGGTTGGGATTATATGTAAAAAAAAAGCACCGAGCATTGAACAGAATTGATTGCAGCTCAAATGTCAGGCCAATAGAACATGGCAACGCATTGTTGCATATTGTAGCACGGAGCGACATCTCCAAAGAGTCATACGACCAAAAAAAAGAGGACTACATCTGTTCTACAGTGTACGGTAACCATTCATATTTTATAGATGGGTAAGATTGCTAATAGACAAATAAGCCAAGTACATTTTCTTTTTGCTTATACACGTAGTGCTTTTACTGGCATATATCTGCCCCGATTGAGAATTCATCTGTTCGTCACAAGTAGGAAAATCATTTATTATTTGTAAAGGTGGGAACCAATAAATAAATATCTCCATTATTTAATTTGCTCAAATAACGAAAAAACCGACCTCTTGCTTGCAGAAAGAGCTGAACTACTCACTCTTTGTACCAATTAAGGACATTCTAGAAACTGCAACTAATAAAAAAAACCCATGACAACCAGCACCTCTGCAAGTCTGAAATAGCCGCCAGGTGTTCCTCCCGCCCAACTTTGACTTCCTCCGCCTCCTGCAGTTGTCGATGGCGCTCCTGCAAGGACCCCAGGGCCACCCGCGCGTCTGTCAGCTGGTCCAGCGCCTCTCGCTTTTGCGCCTCCATCCTCTCCAACCGCTTCATCAACTTTGACACTTTGGGCAACCGACAAGGAAGGCGTTAAGGTATTAATGTTTACCGAGTACCAGCTGTCATCTAGCGCTCTGCATATTAACGTGGCGGTACGTTGCGCCACAACGACAGCCAGTGTTTGCGAGCGTGTGTGTGAGGATTTGGCTGAGAGCACAATGTTTTTGCATCCAATGATATCTACAGAAGAGGGGCGGGGAGCCAAATCAAGAACAAACATCGTAATGCAATCGTGTTTATTTTTGTACAAAGGACACACGGGTAAAGGTTGTGCAGTCAGTTAGAATGATAGGGAGGCAGAATAAGGAGCATCCATCTCCAGTGAAATGCATGGCAATCAGCAGCTAAAAACTTAATGGCCATGTAATAATTATCCAATAAAAATTAATTCTTACGCTTGCAATCCGCACATCGAATCGTGCGTCTAATATTCGATTATTTTCTATTTGTATAGCGTGCGTTTTTTTTTAACACCGCCACATTCTATAGAATTACACCATTAAAGATTCTATGCATGCGCCACGAGTGATGTGATTCGTGACCCTGCATTGTGACAATTCACGTAATTGTGGTGGGGGTGCATCGTTGCATCCCTTCCACCCACCTTCCTGCTTATGTGCGCCCTGCGAGTCTTTGAGCTTGGCTTTTTGCAGATCGAGCTGCTGCAGGAGGACCTGGTTTTCTTCCAGCACAAGCCTGCCTTGCTCCTGCACGAGCTTCCTAAATGCAGAAACAAGCACCGGTTGTCAGTGCCCAATTAATGTGGCCTATGTTGTGCATTTACGGTCACCACCGTTTCCCCCACTATACCCCCCCCCCATCCCTTCCTTCCTCCCCGCATCAGACTTGGGTCTCCTCGCTCTACGCATATCCAGACTGAGCCAGTGAGTGGGTGAGATTTGCAGAAATTGTTTGGATTTCTGTGCGCTCAATTGAACATTGCGAATGAACGTTCCGCCCCAACTTACAGGTCGTTTTGTCCTGTCTTGAGTGTCTTCGTGTGTTGTTTCAAACTTGGACATTATGACATACGCAAGATATATGCAAGACATTGCCATTTAGAACAATACATGGTGCATTAATTGAGCCTCCTTTTGATGGGCCGCTTGTGAAAATTCTATTTCCACACAAAGAAAATAGCCAGCCACTATATGGCAAAAATAAATACAACTGTTTGACATACCCATGATAGATGTTTACCGTGGAGAAAAGATCATAAAAATGCTTGAAATGATCTAAACAAAAATATCTATACGGAGAAAGGAAAATGTCAAAATTCAGCATGTATACTACAGTTTTGATGAATAGTCAATATTGTGTGCAAACAGACAACAAAAGAGTTAGATACATGAACAGCACAAAAGATCTGCAAATTGCAGCAGAGTGTGCATCTGCAGCATTTGGTCAGGGGCACACGCGGCAATTAAAACAAACCGCTGAGCATCCAACAAAAGGAGTTTGGTGTGGGAATGCTCGGAGCGAGGAGACCACGTGTGACACGAGTGGACCGCGGTGGCAGTAAATGCAATTCGTTGCATTCAAACAAACACAATCACGGGCAAAGTGAAATGATGTGCACAATATATGCAGTGACACAAAAGCTAACAAACATCAAAATAGAGATAGTGATAAAAAAAAACATACGCCATCGTTGGAGGGAAATTACAATTCCACAAAAACCTTGATTTATTCCGATGCACCACTGGTAAAAAAACTGTGCAAATCCTGCTATCTCAAAGCTAATCCCAAGCAAACATCCAATTTACAAGCAATTCTGCCTCCAAAGAAAATAGAAAACTTCAAGGTTTGCCGTGGGATATTGCTCATTGTCTGAGTGGGGGTAGAAAAGCAATCGAGCCGAACAGCCCAAAAGCAATGGATGTTGTACATTGTTGTAGCATCAACTCTTTGTGAACGCTGAGAGCCTCTGGCAGGCATATGTAGTTAATTTTTAAGCACGAGACACAGTGATTTATATATTTTCAATACGGATGTGATGCAGAAGAAGAAAAAATAGCGAGTAAAAGAGTATCTTTTGGAACATAAAGGAGGCTGACAGAAAGAGTTACGAGTGTTAACAGTCGATGACACAATGCCCCAGTTTGAAAGGCAAATGCATAATTCTGAGTAGCAGTGCACATGTCTGCTCTTCCATTAAAACAAGATGCATGAGTAATAATAAAAACTAACAGCTGCTGCTACTGTTTGCATTATTTGTAAATTGCGCACAGCTTACAAAATGTCACACTGATAAATCATTGTGTGGATTGCCAGAAAAGTGGCAATAAATTGCAGCGATGATACTATTCTCGGGAATGGAAGCTGAGACGAAAGGAGAAATAAAACAAGAGTCTGCAACAAAAAAAGAAAATTATTTTTGTAATCTGCATGCAAATGCGAAAACCTCGGAAGGCTTCGCACAAACCGAGAGTGGTGGCACACGCCACTTGGCTGCAAGGTGGCCAGAAATGTGCAGGACAGCAAATTGATTCCGGAATCTCTCGTCTGGTGGAGTTTCACGTGGGTTTTCTTCACCTTCTCTTGGTTCCATAGCCTATGACCAATCTCATCAGATCTCGGAAGCTCTGCAGGGTTTGAGCCTGGACAATGCCTGGATGAGCAATCACCATGCACCAAAGGTGTTATAGGCTGCGGAGCTATGTGGTGAGAAGCAGAGGGCAGTGCAGAAAAATGAATTTCACATCGTTTCTATGTTCCCATGTTTTTGTTCTCTGCCTTAACCAACCCGCACTGACAAATAACCCCCACAAATTGCCCAGCGTAGGGAGGCTCTGATCTAGCAGTAGACTGATTAATGGCCATAAATGTACTCGGATTTATTCCCACACGCAAAACACTCCCCGGTAAGGAGTTGATCAAACATCCCCAAAAGTCGCAGAGCACTGCTGAAAAGTTTTCTTGTTAAATAAATGGCGAAGCTTTCCTGAATAAAGGTCAATGTACGCGTGGGACCCAGCAATTGGTCGCTCACGGCACTGTGGTCGGAAGGGTCTCCACTACAGGGAGCTCTGGAGAGCCCCTTGAAAGGATATTTGGCCTACTCCTTCACGATGGCCAGATATCCCGGAAGAGTTGGGAGTAGCCACGCTTTGCTCCACCACGGGCGACCTGCCAATCCACTAACCATAGCCTACCTATTTATACTGCCGAGTGGACAACAGGTGATGGTGGGGGGGAATTTAAGAAACATATCAGTACTCTTCGTTTTTTCGGTGAAGTCACGTGGGTAAAAAATGAAATTAAAATTAATAAAAATAAAATATATATATTGTATTTATTAATTTTTTTCTATTAATTAATTTCAATTTCATTTTTTACCTACGTGACTTTACCGAAAAAAACTAAGAGTATGAATCCTTGCAGTCACGAAAGCTTCAAATCTAGAAACAAATCAGTGTCGCGTTTGGCGGTTTGAACCGACGACCATCAACGCTGCGGTCGCGTCTGTACCAAAATGTACAAATGATTACAAGTGGATACACTTGGGGGTAGGGGGCGGTGTATGTGCGTCACCAGCAGCTTTGTAATGATGCAATCTCACCATTCCTTTCCCGCTGCTGCTTTTGACGTCACCAACTCTTGGTGTAATTGCTCATTCTCCTTGGCCACCACGTTCATTTGTTCCTTCAGCGTCTGCAGTGCCTCCTAAGGGAATAATCAGATGATATGAGGGAAAAAAAGGTTCTGCCGGCTGATGCGCAGGGAAAGTTTGCGGTGGTGACGTCACTGCGCTCATCTGCGCGATAACGTCACCTGCACCCCACAGCAAGTTTCCTCGAGGTAATCCGTTTACCTCCCACGTGAACTCCAAACACTCGTTCATGGATTTGACCAAAAATACAAGGATAGCAGGAGCCTCCGGGAAAAAAAGGCTTCAGACTCAGGGAGTCCTTCTTGGGTAAATTAAAGGGAATCTTTATTTTTGTTTACAATAAAATACACATTCTGCAAGCGTTTTGTGAAGCTTTAATCATGTACAGTCTTGACGTATCCACAAGCATTGTGTGCAGGCAAATGCTTTTTGTAACATCTCAGAATTCACGAACAAGTAATCGTCTTAGTTTAACACGTAGGCTTTCGCGACCAAAATTATTCATAATAAAAATTTTGGGTTAGATCGCGTTAATTATAAATGTGTCGTAACCCTCCACCACCCGACACGGCCAATCAGCAAAAAAGTGTCACGTTGACAAAAGACAAATAGTTCACTACTTTAGCCCACCGGTGTGTTGAAGAGTGAAACCACAACATTTACAATTTTTGAGTACGATGTACGGATGCAATTACCAGTGAACTATTTGTCTTTTGTCAACATGACACTTTTTTGCTGATTGGCCGTGTTGAGTGGTGGAGGGTTACAGCACATTTATAAATAACGCGATCTAACCCAAAAACTTTATTATGAGTAATCGTCTTACTCTCAGTTACACGTTTGGTGCCATGGTCCTTCGCTGGACTGTGCATGATGAATGAATGAATTACTCTTGGCAGAGCCAACCCCAGCCCGAGTGTGAACATAGCCGAGGTCTGTACCGCTTGTTAATTGCAATGCTAGGCGTGTCAGACACAGCTCCCGTCAACTTTGAACAGCACAGCAAAGAAAATGACAACATGTCATATACATCGATTTCAATACACAATGCAAAAATAACAAAAAATTGGAGATAACAAAGCTGTCTCTGGTGTGGACCAATCAGTTTCAAAGACAATGCATATATTATCAGAGTTATGTTTTTGTTTGCATTCAGACCACAAGTATTGTGGTTAATGCAGATATGATTCCTTGTAAAAGGTTTCAGTTTGGTGTTTAAACATCTTAACAGCTGATTTGTTGCCAAAAAAAAGGGGAAAACCTATTCTGATATTTTGGTACTGGCAAAGGAGGTCCCATGATGTAGTTTTACAACCTATGAACTATTATAACTGCTCCAATCATTATTAAACATGAGACACAGCTCTGTATAGTTTTGGAGTAAGGGTAGTGACAAACAAACGTTTTTTTTATTTTAGAAAAATTAGTAAGCACACCACAACATGATTAGCCCGTGTGTAGTAACATCGCGGATGCACTATGTAACGCCGGCTCTAGAGAGGCACGGCGTGCGATGTATTGCCATCGCGGGCACCACGCACATGTGGGTACAGTACCTGCCCGAGAGGGGCTCGGTGAGCGCTGTCTGACAGTGCTGAGTGGCACCACGCCCTGTGTGCAGTGCCGACCCCTACAGGATAGGGGGTGTGAGAGTGCCAGCCCTGGGAATGGGGTTACCAAAGGCCATGGCACTCTGGTTTACCCCGAAGGACACGTGACCGGTAAAGTCTACACAGGGGCCCCCAGGTGGGGGCAAGGGGTGGTCACGTGTCAGGGTCGAGAACCTGCTAGAGGATTCTAGAAGGTGGTCGTGGCTAAGGGCGGAGCCAGCCACACCACAGAGGATATAAGCCGGGTCCCCGAGCAGGACCGACTGCTGTTGTTCATCCTGAAGAATCTACGTTCTACGTCCTACAAGAATCACCAACACGTGGACCTGGACCCGGGCCAGGGTAACCGGTCCGTCGTAGATATTTCCAGTGTAATTGGTGTAGTTAGCCTGGTGGTCCACCACCATAGGTTGTTAATGTGTTAAGGGGTCGTACCCCATGTGTTGGTTTTAATAAATGTGTTGCCTCTAAGAAGTGCGTCTGCGACTCAGTTGAACTCACTACACGCGCTCTTTGGTTTTTTCGGTAAAGTCACGTAGGTAAAAAATAAAATAAATGAAAACAACTAAATTAAATCACGACGTTTCGGAGGCAACACAAGCTTCCGTTTTTAGGTGGAACCGTTACAGCCAAAATCTTACTACAGTGACCCTGTCGTCATCCACTTACTACAGCGATTTTGGCTGTAACAGTTCCACCTGAAGACGGAAGCTTGTGTTGCCTCCGAAACGTCGTGATTTAATTTAGTTGTTTTCATTTATTTTATTTTTTTACCTACGTGACTTTACCGAAAAAACCACAGAGTATGAATCCTTGCAGTCACAAAAGCTTCAAATCTAGAACTCACTACATGTGTATATTAGATTGTGTGAACATGGGCATAGCTCTTGCACCTAATGGAACAAAGACTCCCTTAATACACAGTCTCAGCAGATTAAATGTGCATACTTATGCTGTTTTACTTTTAAACATTTAAAATGTCAATTAGAGTCTTGAGACTCCGTGAGTCTTTCATCGGTACTCAAAGGGTGTCTGGTAAGACTTCAATATTCTTGGCATACACTTACTCTTCAGGGGGTTTATACCAATTTAAAAAACATAAATCTCTGGAACTTTTTCATATCCTTGAAGGTCCTCCTTTGGAAATGAAATGTGCCGAGAAAATTTTTACATTCAGAAGTAAAAATTGTTATCAGCTGTACCACTTGATGACTGATGCCCTTCGCCGAGTGAGATAGGCTGACCATGAAGGTGGTCAACTTTCTCTTTGTGAAATCTTCTGTGTGTTTCAGCTACTGGATGTTTAGCCTTTGTCATGCACTGCATAAACAATAGAAAGGTAATACATATTATATCACCTGTTCACTTTTTGTTTAATTATATGACCAAATATAGCCGTGCTTACAAATGGCCTGCAGGAAGTCAATGTGGTCCGCAGAAGAGAGGACGGCTTGGAGAAGGAGATATCACACTACTTCTGAAATCCCTTTAAAGTGACCCTCTTTTTGTTTTCCACATTAAGGGCCGCGGCGCTATCCTCACAGGCCCCCCGGAGAAATGTGCATTGCATGGTAATCAAAGTAAAATGTTTAACTCTCAGACGGTACAAGTCTAAATTAATTGAATACAAAACGAATGAAATTATTTGTGTAAATAGACAGAGACCATCATCAAACTCAACACGTGTCAAAACGCAGGGTTTATTTTTGTACAGGTTTGCTAATTCGTACCTACAATTATAGCAGTGGCAGCTGAGTTGCTCAGAGTCCTGAGCTAGCCAGCCACCTCGACCCTAAGAATAATATAATCATACATTTTTAAAAATATGTAGTGCATTTTTAATTGATTAGCCTTAAATATAGTTGCTTCAAATCAAACATCTGCTTTGTAGGAAGCCAAACAAGAGGCCAGGTCCTCGGAGTCCCGTCATAATTAGACTCAAGTAAACACATCGCCATTAATTTCCATCTCCTCTAAGATCTCCCTCTGAAGGTTAAACACCGCAAGGGGCCCTCAAGGGCAGAAGGGTCACGGAGATTATGGAAACAAAATTCCCTAAGCGAGCCGCAGTCATTTTGGATCAATTTAATAACAGCCAGCTGAGACCCTAGTAAAATTCTAGCAAACCGAGGAGCCATTTGTCTAAACAGAGATTAATGCGGTACTGTCTCTTGACCTTTGGCCACAACGGCTGTTTTGATGATCCCAGTTAAGCGCTATGAGGAGAGGCACCGCAGCCACATTGTAAGCTAAATATATCGAGAAAATGTGTCAAAAAAACAATCATCATCATGGTCAAGCCGCTGCTGGATAAAGGCCTTCGTGAAGCCGCCGTCACCTCGCTCAATCTTGCGATGTAAAAGTAACAAAATATAATTAAAAGTAATATTTCACAGCCCATTTGTCAGTCTATTGCCAGGTGCAAGCCTCCCCACACCATGCCAGTAATGGCTGAAGTAGGGGCCCAGAGCCAGTTCAAATAACAGTCGCCACTGATGTTAGCCAGGGGCGGGAATCGAACTCAGATATTCGAGTTGATTATATAGTGGGCGAACCACCACAACGCCTACCCCGTATTTACGGGCACTTGGTTAATCCACTGCTGTATGAAGGTTTCACGACACAGTGTCAGTCACAGGGGCATGTGTTCGACCGTACTTCACACTGGTTTCTGCAGGTTGGTGCAGGGAGAAGGAAGGGGCAGGGGTGTGTGTTGGGGCCATATTGTTCAAGTTATCACTCACCGCACATGTTTGCCGTGGCCAAGAATAAAAAGCAGGCCCCCAGATTCGTAACACCAATGTGCTATTAACTGCACCACCACTCCACCCATTCAGCAAAACTCTTAGTTAAATTGTATAGGTCCAATAAAGAGGCAAAAACATCCATTTCAAATGTCGCGCAACATATTACATTTATCCGGCTTTACCCCCTTGTGCAACTGCAGAATCAGCAACCGCACAGCCGGCAGTGAAAGGATTAGAAGCTACAGACGCAACATTAATCAGGCTGTTAGGTGTGCAGCTGTTTGTATCACAGCGGGAAGCCAGCATCAGCCCCAGAGCTGATATTTTTAGGGACGGTGTATCCTCCGGGATGTGCGTGTATGTGCCTGCAGCGACTAAACTGAATATTTCCGGATCGTCAGTTTCTGCCAAATCACACGCATACACCAGAGTATGTGTGGCGCAAATAGGTGTATTTGCACGTGTGATGGAAAGCGCTGATGTAGTTAGTGGTTTGCACAATGTGCTATAGACTTGACAAGCTGCGTTTGATTTCTGGTCACAGCTAACGGCAGTATCGAGTGATATCAGAACCAGTTTTGAGCCTCTCCTATGTCGACTCAACCTTAAATGAACAGCTAGTACAGTGCGTAAATATCAGCACCGGGGAGACAAAGGTGATCCAGCGTGGCTGACCACAGCATGCCGTGCCGGAAA